ATTTGCTCGCTTAATTTCTGATGCTTCACCAAATTTAAACAGACAATACAATAAACTTCAAACCAACCACAAAATACCACCTCCAAATATATATTTTATTTCGTTGAAAAAAAATATGTATATGTATATATAATTTATTTATTTATTCTGTAATATAAACAAAATTGTTTTTATTATTACAAAATTAATAGGACGTTTTTTTTTTGAAAAAAACAGGATGTTTTGAAAGAGAACAACTTGTACGATACAAAGATAATAGAGAGTAACTAACACGTTTTATATTATTGATACGAAATATCAATGTAGTGGTTTACCGGTGTCTTATAAGTTATTCTCGTTTTAAAACTCATATGGCGGGTCCCACATGACATTGTGAGAGTGGAAATTGATATTATTTTTGAAATTCTGTATTACCACTTACCAGAATTTGCACATGAAAGTTGGGTTCGCCAAACTCAGTTACGTGACAAATTCTCACCCTCAGCATCTCCTCCACTCCTGATAGTCTGATACCCTCTCTCTCTCTCTCTCTCTCTCTCATATGCTTCAGAGCTAGCTAGTTTGATTACCTTCACTCTCTCTTTCTTTACACAGACCAGTACTCTGCTTAGAGAGAGAGAGAGAGAGAGAGAGAGAGAGAGAGAGAGGAGAGAGAGGAGAGCTCAATTGAAGTTGTGGGTTATTAGAGGCTTGAATCCATGGCTTCTTGGGCTCTTTTACCGGCAGCTCCAGTAACTGGTCGCTGTCTGGTGATTCCTGCCAGGACAAAGAGGTCCTCCTCCTTCTGGGTTCGCTCTTCTTTGGACACTAATGTTTCTGACATGAGGGTAAACGGTAAAGTTCCCATTTTTCTTAAGCTCCAACTTGTCAGTTTTCAATGGTTTTATAGCTTTTTAGTTGATTTTAATTTCTGGGTTTTCTTTCTGTTGGAGAATTATTGTGATGCGATGATTGTTACTTCAATTGGATTCATGATAAAGTTATTGGCTTTTGATCAAAGTTCAAACTTTTCAAGTTCCAAATTCCATTAATTTATTTTAAGAACTAATCTTTGTGCTGCAATTTGAGGTTAATACTTAACATTACCACGAAAAGTTAGACAGAATATGGTGTTTGGTGATTAAGTGAAGGATTATTTACTGTTTGAGCTACTATTTAATGTATACTGAGATGAATGCTTAATCTTCCAGCTCCAAAAGGGTTGTTTCCACCTGAACCAGAGTTCTACCGCGGTCCGAAGCTGAAAGTGGCCATTATCGGAGCTGGACTCGCGGGCATGTCAACCGCCGTTGAGCTTTTGGATCAAGGCCATGAGGTTTGTTTACTTTGTCTGAATTGTATGTTTCTTTCGGTTTAGAGCTATATTGCTTCAATGTGTGAATTGAATTTTTAAAGTTGGACACTTTGACTGAACTTCTTAGTAAGCTAACTTCATAATTTTCTGTAAGGTTGTTTGATGACCGATTGTCTTTTCCTGGGAAACTTGTTAATTTGTAAATTCTGCAGGTGGATATTTATGAATCGAGGCCTTTCATTGGCGGAAAAGTGGGCTCTTTTGTTGATAAAAAAGGAAACCACATTGAAATGGGACTCCATGTTTTCTTTGGTTGCTACAGTAATCTTTTCCGATTAATGAAAAAGGTGAACAACTATTGCTTGGTTGAACTTCTGTTACACTAGAGAAATATTATGTATAATTGCTTATAAGTTTTCTTGGACCACCACTTAAACAGGTGGGTGCAGACGAAAATCTTCTTGTCAAGGATCATACTCACACTTTTGTAAACAAAGGGGGTAACATTGGTGGTATGTCTTGGTGCCTGATCTTGTATTTCACGGTTCATTCCTGAATCACTTATATCCAATGTACATTATCCGTTACTTGTTTTTCATCGCAGAACTTGATTTTCGGTTCCCAATTGGAGCACCAATACATGGGATTCTTGCATTTTTGTCTACAAATCAGATTAAGGCAGGTTTTCCAATTGCCACCATGACTGACTTTACTGCAAATCATCATCATTGTCACATCTCATTATTTTGGATACCAGTATAGAGAATATAGCATTGTTCACCTTGTGTCAGGAAAAACAGTAAAAGAAAAAAAAAAGACACTTTTTCCATGTTTTCATTGAGTTGATTAATCCTAGTGAACCAAATTGTAATGTAGCTTCTTGCTGAGTTAGATTTCTGTTACTGTATTTCCTTTATAACTGTTCAGACTTACGATAAAGCAAGAAATGCAGTGGCTCTTGCCTTAAGTCCGGTTGTAAAGGCTCTTGTTAATCCAGATGGAGCATTGCAGGACGTACGGAATTTGGATAGTGTAAGAATGAAAGATATTTTTATCTTTTATTTTGATCTCCATTCACATTGTGTTTTCGTTGAAACTGGAAATGTTTGGAAGTCTATTGCAAGTTATTATTTTCTCACACAATTTTTGTATTTTAAAAATTGAACTTGGCTTTTGCAGATAAGCTTCTCTGATTGGTTCTTGTCCAAAGGTGGCACGCGAATGAGCATCCAGCGGATGTGGGATCCTGTTGCATATGCACTTGGGTTTATTGACTGTGATAATATTAGCGCTCGTTGTATGCTCACTATATTCACATTGTTTGCCACTAAGACCGAGGCTTCCCTTCTACGCATGCTCAAGGGTTCGCCAGATGTTTACTTAAGTGGCCCCATCAGAGATTATATCATTGCCAAGGGGGGCAGGTATATCTTTGTAAAAGCTAGAAGAGCTTTACATTGAAATGATGAGATAACAGTTGTTTGTTTTTCAGTTTCTCCTATATCAGTTGATCTCTTATCAGTTGGAATGTCATTTTCTGCTGTTACAGGTTTCATCTCAGGTGGGGATGTAGAGAAATACTATATGATAAATCTTCTGATGGCGAAACATATGTTACTGGATTTTCGATGTCTAGGGTAACTTACTTATCATATTGCTTCTTTTAATATGAATGAAATTTAATAAAGATCGATTTCTTTGACGACTGGAATCTTTAATTGTGTTAACCTTGGATGCGTGTAGTGGAACTTGTGCTTCTTTAAGTGTAAATACCTAGTTTGTTCTTTTTGTGGTTGTAGGCTACTAACAAGAAAATTGTGACAGCCGACGCTTATGTTGCAGGTTTGTGGTTTACTCTTGCTCCTTTGTTCCTTCCTATTCCAAAAGACTATTTCCAATTTCAGTTGAATAAGTTTTTCTCTCATATTTGTATGTTAACAGCATGTGATGTGCCTGGAATCAAGAGACTGCTTCCTTCTCAGTGGAGGGAATGGGATTTTTTCAATAATGTTTATGAGCTAGTTGGAGTCCCTGTTGTCACTGTGCAACTTAGATACGACGGTTGGGTCACAGAGTTACAAGATCTAGAACGGTCAAGGTGATTCTCCCTTACACACTGAAGTACTTAGATGTGAAAAGAAAAACTCTTTCGTGTTAAGGACCTTGTCAGAATCTTAAAAAAAAATTTTGCTTGTTCAAGACTAATGGACAGGGATATTTTTGTTTGATAGGCAATTGAAGCAAGCTTCGGGATTAGATAATCTCCTATATACTCCTGATGCAGATTTCTCTTGCTTTGCCGACCTAGCGCTTACTTCTCCTGAAGATTACTACATCGAGGGACAAGGTTCACTCCTCCAGTAAGGAAAACATACCCCTTATTATTCTTATCCTTCGGTTTTACAAACAGAGATACATTAGATATAAAAAATAAAAAATAAAAAATAAAAAAAACAGACACCCTCTTTATTTGGCCTGCTGTAGAACTTTGAAATGTTCAAACCGAACCAAGTAGATGTGGTGATTTTTTAATTGCTTGAAATTTCCATCCTAGTTGATCAAAATACATTACACACACACACACACACACACACACATTCCAATTAGGTATCAAGTCACTGCATTTCCTATTTGCACTTTTATAATTTTGAACTTAACGCTGGTGCTTCTTCATGTTGCAGATGCGTTTTGACACCAGGTGATCCTTACATGCCTTTACCAAACGAAGAAATTATAGCAAGAGTGACGAAACAGGTAATTAGCTTATAAAGAACACTTTGCATACGTTAAGCAAGTTAAACTGCAGTTAGAAGAAACCAATAAAAACATTAAATCTTTTTTTTTTTGGTGAATGGAAACATCAAATCTGAACCTTAAAATTTTCAATTCAAGGTTTTGGCTTTATTCCCATCATCCCAAGGTTTAGAAGTCACTTGGTCATCAGTTGTCAAAATTGGGCAATCTCTCTATCGGGAGGGACCTGGCAAAGATCCGTTTAGACCTGATCAGAAGACACCTGTGAAGAATTTTTTCCTCGCTGGCTCATACACAAAACAGGTAGGTTTGCGCAAGTGATTCTTCTGTAGAAGAATGATGAAAGAAAATGCAAATTCTAATTGGCTGTACCTTTTACAGGACTATATCGACAGCATGGAAGGAGCAACTTTGTCTGGCAGGCAAGCCTCTGCATATATATGTGATGCCGGGGAAGAGTTGGTGGGATTGAGAAAGAAGCTTGCAGCCCAAGATTCTGGGGAATACACAAAAGCTGTTAATACTACTGATGAGCTGAGTCTTGTCTAACACATTGCCTGCCTGCCATTCGTTCGTTAGCACGGAAAAAAACCTCCTCAAATCAAAATGTGGTGTCAGCCGGCGAGTTTGACATGAGCTAGCTTTGTTCATTACACATGTTTTACAATGTTCTATATCAAGTATAGAAAGTTTAGTCTCATTTGCGAATCATGCGATGAATGTAAACCTGTTAGGCATGAAATATATTTTCAATCGCACGATTTCTGTAAGTAAACAACATCGTCAAACTTTTAACATCGAACAAGAAGCGATGTTTTGCCTGCTGAAATGCCCTTAACAGACTTGGCCCTGCATCACTAGTAGGCATTCTACCCATGCGCAGTATCAATAGGCTCGAAAATAGCATCAGAATCAAGCAGCAGACCCGGTCTTTTAGGCTGGCGTTTGTAGCGCTGCATAACATATTGCAGAATTTCTTCTCGAAGAGTTGCATATACAGTTTGAGCAAGGAAACTGTACGGGGGGACAGTGCAGGATCTATACCGAGGCGCTTTCCGGCAACACTAATCCCCAACACTTTTAAGACAGGATCTGGGAATTCCGGCAGGCACAAGCTGCATTGCTTGAAATCTTCCTTTTATCTCCGCATCATTACCAAATTGCAGAAGCGTATGTGTTCCATTTTTTGCAGTCCGCGATGGCAGGCAGTAAGAGAAGCGCATGTTGGTTTCGTAAACTAGTTGCCTAGGATGAACGTGAGGATCCCGGGATCCTCATGTCCATTTATCGTAGTTTTTGTTTCATGTTTAATTTTAAATAAAAGTATTTAAAATGATTTCTACCTGCACGATGTACGATGAATGAACACGATTTGAGCATCTTCAGAATCCTTACAAAGAGAATCCGCTCATTCCTCTGCCATTAACTGTGAACTGTTGTCTTATGTACACGTGTTGTGCAAACATAGGAGCTTAAAAACCCAACCCGCCATTAACCGGCCCAATTTCCTCCAACCCAGACCTTTGCAGTTCCCCAACTGTATTAACCAACTAGGTGAAATCTGAACCCGCCAAAACAATGGCGGGAGTAGCGTGTTACGGTTGCACTGCAACTGCAACTCTACGGCTTCCTCCGCTCCCGCAGTCGAAGGTAACACACAGGATTCAAATTTCGGTTTTCAATTTTACTTCAATTCCTGACCGTTTGTTGCTTTCTGATCCATTTATGACCGTCCATTTTCCAGGGAATCCGCGGCATCCGGTGCTCCTCCGCCGCACCGGATAACAACAGCAACAAGAGAGAAACCCCGCAGGTTTTGAAAATCGCTGTGAGCGGAGTCACTGAGCTGCTCAGGCTCCTCTCCTCCTCCAACAAAGCATCCAGGTATTCTTCCCGTTTTACCCTTCTCAGATTCAATCTTTTGATATTTTCCGAATTTTCGAATTTTCGAGCTTTCGATTTTGTGTGTAGAGTTGATAATTTGGAATAATTCTATGATGTTTTAAATTATCGTTAATTGTACAATCTACTTGTCAAAGGTTGTTCCTTTTTAACAATTTTAGATGACCATAACGTCTAACATTACACATACCAGTGGTTGTGAGCATACTATATGAAGTTATGAACCCTAAATAACATTGGTCACAATTATTTGTCCGATCAATTTGTTGGTGACTCGAGCTCTTTGGATTTCTGTGTTTTAATTTTGTCAACATGTTGCAGATTAAATGGAGTGAGTGACAAAGAAAGCGATGAGTTTTCAGTTTCCGGCATTGATGATGTTGTAACGATTCTCCAATCTGATTTCGAGAATGCGTATTTTGTAACAGGTACTACTGCACTGTTTGAATTGAATGAGACCTTCCTGTGTATGTCTATGTACATATATGAATGATCGTTTCCTCACCTAGTGAAATAAGGTTTTGTTGTCGTTGTTTCACTTTTCTACTTTGGGTTTGGTAATAGGGATTTTCACTTCTGCAATTTATACTGAAGATTGTGTCTTTGAAGATCCAACTATTAGATTTCGAGGTAAGAAAATCCTGGCAATTCGCTTTTGTGTCACTTGTACTTTATATATGGTGCAATACACACACATGTAAAAAGATGTCTGCTTGTCTTACACTGAATTCGATTGCATGCTCAATTATGTAAGACTTATCGCTCTGCTAATTTTCATGGTCTTTGGCTGTTTAGGTAAGGACTTGTATTCTCGCAACTTGAAATTGCTTGTTCCTTTCTTTGACTCTCCGTCAATTGGATTAGAAAAGATCGAGAAGGTAGTCATTTCGCAGTGTATCATAGTTGGATTCAGTACTATAGTTCAAGATATTAGATATATCACCGCCACACGAACTATGTTAACTGAACTATAATGTGCTGTGTAACACTGCTTTATTTGAGGCCAAACGCTGAAAATCCGAGCTGATTAGATACTGTAAACATGACTATGTACAGGGTATCGATTCTGAAGCAAATTTTGTACTTGCAACATGGAAGCTCAGGTGCTTAAAATGATCTTGTCGATTTTTCACATGGATTTTCTGTGATAAGTTCTGGCTGTATTAGTATGTATTAGGCATATAGGCATAGAAAATATCTTGGCCTTTCTTTCAACATATTTTGCTCTTTATGCCTTTTGATAGCATGTCAAAAAGTAGAAAGGGAAATATTAGAGTTGGTCTTCGCGGTTCCACGGTACCACCCCGTTTCATGAAGTGATTCTCTTTGATTGTGTCCATCCTGCTGCATTCTTTGTAACTCCTAGCTGTGGGTTCATCCTAACTATTTTTATCGGTCTGCAGGACATACCTAAAACTTCCATGGAGGCCTCTCATTTGCATCGATGGAAGTACGGTCTATGACTTAGACGATAAGTTTAAAGTGAGAACAAAAAGCGCTTTCGTATGCTGGATTATTGATCCTTAACATATGGTAGTTTTGCCAGTCATCAATTTGTGATTTCCCCTATTGGTTTAACAGATTGTAAGGCACGCTGAAAGTTGGAATGTCTCTGCAATTGAGGCAATTGGCCAGCTGTTCACGCCTACGTATGGAAGATCCAATGACTGAACACAGTAAGTCTTCGAACTCCCAACGCGGTTTAAATTAAGATGAATAGGAGTTGCTAATCAGGATCAAGACGGAAAAGACTAACATTATGTTCACGGATACTGTTGAACTTTCAGTTGTTGACATTCGATTCTGTAGTTCTGAATTGGCAGACACCAACGTTGTTTGAAGCCCTATATCTCGGCGAAACTTAAAAGTATGATTAGATTCTTATTCTTTTGATAGTATTAGACCTTACTTTTACTTGGTACATATTGTTTTTGGTATTTCTTTGACTTGTCCCCCAATGTAACGACGTAGGGGGATCCATGTAGACATAGTACCTATTTATACACTCGAACGACCCCTATCATGTTCTGTATGTGGACTTTTGCAGAAGCAGAAATTTACAGTTGCGTATTATTTACGTCAACCGAAATTCTGTCTAGTTCTGTACAGACCTTTCTAATGCTAATATATACTGGATGACATGTGATTTGGTTGCTATTTTATTCCATTTCCGGCGCCTTCTGCCGGTTAGCATCGGGCCAGACAATATGCCATGAAAAACCAAGCGGAGTTTTCCCCTCAACTTTGTGCCCGTAACTACTTTAGACAGCTGCAGAGCCAATGAATTAGATCACAATATTTACCAAGAAAAGTTGCTACATTTTGCCAATCTATTTGTTTTCTATGCAGAAAAATGAGATGTCAATATTTTTTTAGTGCTTGTGATTATTACAAAGGGGGAGAAGTGTACGTTTGCAATGATGATATAGAATATAGCCATTAGGCATAAACAGTGTAGGGACAGTAAGCTCCCCATGTTCTTGTGCAGAAAGTCCCGACCTTTCTGTTAACGGCATTAAAAAAGACTTCAAAATTTGAAAAACAAAGAATGCATATATACTGGATGTGGGCGTAGCTACATTGGCATGGATGTGCTCTCTCTATGGACTCGAGTTCAAATGATCCTCCCCGCAATTTAGATTAGTCAGAGTAGAATATCGCTTGTATCAGATAAAAAAATGCATACATACATATACAAAAGGAAAGGAAATTCATTTCAACGCATCCTTTGATTGTATACTCGTGAACACCTTCGTTTATTTTAGGCATGTGAATTGAATGAATCAAAGGAGATTCAAGAGACCAAAATAAATATAAGCGTGCAGAAGGAGAACAAGAGTGCGGATGTCATTTCGCAAAGGAAAAACACAAGAAATTTACAATATTAAGGACTTATTTCCAATTTCAAACATGTCCTCATAATGGAATTAATAGATAAAAGTGTCAATCCCTCTTCCAAGCATACAACAACAGAGAAAATCCTCCATTACTACCACACGACCTAGTTGATGAAGAACATGAACTCCTACCCCCATCACTACTTTCATCTGCCCATTGCAGCACGCTCGAGCACGACGGCGATGGAGACACCGATGACATTGATGCTGAAGCAGCCGACGTTGACAAGCTCTTCCTCATCAACTTCTTCTCAGGACCTACCATTTCCGGCCACACTCCACCATCGCCAACTTGAAATACAAATACACCATGACCGTTCCCATTACTGCCACCATGATTATTAACCCAATTGAAGACATCCCAATAAAATTCAAATTCTACTCCGCCAACAAAAATCTTCTCATTGCCTCTGAATTTCCAAGCCAACCTTTTGACAACGAGGCTTGTTACTCCATCTACTTTTACTCTAAGTGTTCCCTCGCTGCACTCTATTCCGATTTCGTGTTTGGACCCCAAGAACTGAGCTCTGGATATGTAATTCCTCCGCCCGAACACATGTTCCCGCCTTGACAGTAAAGCCGGTTGGCTGAGCTTGTGAGTCAGAAGTAACCCTGATCGCTGAGTCAACTCGTCCGAAAGATCCCCCAGAAAGAATTCAAGCCTTGCATTGCAAGAAATGGCGATGTAGAAGCAAGACTCGGGCTCGGCGGAGTTGTGAGTGAAGTCAGCCCGGGTGAAGTCCCAGTAAAGCTTGATTCTTTTGTGGTGGCAGTGGGTTAGAGAGATGGATTTGGAACCGGGTCTGGTTCGAAAGAACGAGAAGGTTGACGGGTTGAGAGAGATAGTGAGGGAGAAAGAGTTAGAGGCATGGATGGTGAGGGAGTGAGAGAAGAGGGTTTTGGACCAGGTGAGAGTAAGATATGTGGGAGAGTTGCAAAGCTGAGTTTGGTATATGCAGGTTATGAGGTTTTGAGGCACTTGAGAGGTGCTTGTGGGTGTGTTGGGCTGGCTGAAACATGCTGGGATCATGGTGTTCCAATTTTCAGTGCTTGTTGCTCAAGCATAAGCACTTGGAGAATTCTGTGGGAAGTTTTAATGTGATGAGAGAGAGAGAGAGGTGTGAATGGAGTGTTTGGAGTTTGATTATATATTCTTTTGGTTTTGTATTGATTGGTAGTTTATATTGAGGTTTTGTGGAAGAGAGAGAGAGAGAGAGAGAGAGTTGGGAGGCTTAAAGGCTTTGTCCTTGGCTTGTTGATGATGGGTAGTTTGGATTTGAGGCTTTGGAAGCTTAAAGGCTTAGTCTTTGGTTTGGTGCCGATGGGGAGCTTGGGATTTTGAGGCTTTGCTACGTGCTAGTCGAGTATATAATAAGAGCTTTTGGCTTTTAGCTTTTGAGTTTTGGCTTTTGGCTTAGAATGTGCTTGTGGCTTTGAGTCTTGAATGATGAAAGTCACAAGGTTCCCATCATCACAATCATCAGCACCGGTAGCTAAGCCTTACATTCATGTTATATCCTTAATTTGCGCCTTTGATGGATTTTTAAACTCTCTCTCTCTCTCTCTCTCTCTCTCTCTCTCTCTCTCTCTCTCTCTCTCTCTCTCTCATGGGCATGGGAATGAGCTGTGTTGCACTAGGGTTTCAGCTGGGTCACAGTTGCAGGTGACTTTGGTTTTATTTTAGTTTTACTTTCAAGGGTAAGTTCTTTCCATTTTTTCTATACATATAATAATGTTGTTTTTCAATTCTTTGCCATCTCGAAAGGAGATTTTAGAAGATGGGGCCTTGGGAAAAGGAGAGAGTCCCCCCAACCACTTTTGTATGGTAGCTTCAGTTTCACTTATCAAGTGGAAATGCATCATGTTTGATACCAAGATGACGACACACAACGAAACATGGCAAGTGAGTTGTAGACTGCAACTTCTCGTATTATTATGGGAGCATTTTTGCTCACCATAATAATTATGGTGTATGCTCACCATACACCTAATCAATTGACACATGTCCTTTCACCTAACTCTAGTTAACTTTTACATTAAATGTTAGTTTTTCAATTTTGAAAAAAATTAACCATGATTAAGTGAAATGACACGTGTCAATTGGTTAGATGTATGGTGAGCATACACCATAGTTTATGGTGGTGAGCAAAAATGCTCCCATTATTATAAAGCAAAAGAATTAAGTGGAAAGACACGTAAATAGAACCAGTTATGAGCTTCTAATCCAAAATTGAATTAGATAGCACTGAATATGCACAAATAATTAGTAGCATATAAACCCTAGTTTAATGCCTTTTTATTCATATTATAGTGTCTTGAGTTATGTTTTTATGATGAAAAGTTTGTAACTAATTTTATTTGTTTATATTTTTTCAAAATTGATAATGATGAACACACGCCATCAAAGCATGACACGTAGATTGCAGACTGCAACCTTTTGTATAATAAAACAAAAGAATTGAGCGGAAATGTACAAAAATAGAATCAGCTACAAACTTCTAATACAAAGCAGAACTAAAGAGATATTAAACGGATAATTAGACGTATATAAAAACACAGTTTAAATATTAAACGGCCAATTCACGTCATGACGTCTCTTTGATTTATTCATGATGAGAAATTTATAACTAATTTCATTTTTTGTATATTTTTCAAAATTGATCAAGATGGCGATACACCAACGAAACATGGCAAGTAGTTGTGGACAGCAACATCTTGAATTATAAAACAAAAGGGTTGAGAGTATAGTACACAAAAGCATGATATTTTCATATTTTGCCATGATTTCAACAACTAATCGTTTTGAATGCCGATGAGCATGTTTAATATTTGGCCAATGAGGACGAAACAAGTTTCTCTGCTCTAACGTTTAGTGTGGCGCCTAACCTAGTAGAGTGGTGCAGTGTTTGAGGCAGATGTTAAAGGCAAAGGGTCTCTCTTGGGTTGCATGCTGTTTGGCACATTCCCAGCATAATCCCGATCTCCCATCCAACGATCATTCTTCTTCTTTTTGGGTTGCATGGATTTGGTCACTGTTTTCCAAGATATGGTATAGCTACAACATTTTAGTTAACTAACCTACCCAGTTGATCATCGAAACGAGAAACTAGAAAGTTCTGGATGCGATAAATCATATTACGTTGCATGTTCGTCCAAGACACAATAATAAGTTCAATTTGATGAACCTAAATGTAGAAATCCTTTATATGTGTCTTAGGTGGATGATTGATGTAGCACGATGCCCACACCTAAAGACCAAAAAGAGAAATTAAGATAATCCATGTGCCATATGCCCTTTTGTATATACTTCTATAAACAATGACCTGAAACAAAGCTTATAGTTCTGCTAAAATATTTTGACTGTTTCGTAGTGAAAAACAACAAATAAAAATTAGTATTCTGTAAACTAGATTGTTTTGCCAAAAAAACTAGTCTCCCCCAAAGGAAAAGAACTTCTGTATCACGGGTGCAATATTGTACCTCTCCATTTCTCATTACGGATATATATTGCAATCTCCCTACATCTTATACAATGCAACTTGTGAATTTACCCGCTTAAAAAATGTTATATATTTTACCTTGTAAATTGCGGACAAAATGACAATTTTTGTACTAAGAATATACGCAAAGTAATATATAACAAAAGCAAAATCTTAACAAATCCATACAACCCAAAGTAATAAAACAAAAATGCTCCATATATAACACCTGAAAATTAAACAAGTATTCCAAAATTTTCAGGTTCATCACATCTTTTTGCCTATGAATATATTATTCCAAGCATCATTCATTTACTATCTTTGTAGCTAGATGTATACAAAAATACCATTAAATACAAAGATCATGAAAATTATTTGATCCCAGCTATTTGCATACTCTTGCCTTTTCATGTTCAGCAGCCCTCATGAGGAGGCTGCCATGTTCAAGCGCCACCAGAACCGGCGAACCCCCGATCCCTCGCGCCACCGCGAGCATCGTCTCCGCCAACAGAGTCTGAAACTCTTGACCATCGATCACACCATTTTTATCCGCATCAAATCTCTCAAATATTTCATCATGCAGGACGTTGATTTCGTCTTTCGGCTGCGATACGTACCCGATGCCCGGCAAAAGTTTGCCAAACCCTGCACGTAGCTTCTCCCTCGATAGCCCTCCCTGACCGTCCACGTCAAGTTTTCCGAAGCATTCCTTACTGCATTTCTCAAACATCGTTGTGTCTTCCACGAATCCGGTGACGGTCAAATTGTTCAGGGCATGAATAACAACGGCACTGGAACTGCTACTCGTTTTCATTGATCAATCAAAGAATTTCAGCTCTTTTCAGAGATTTGTTTTTTGGGTGTAATTTGTGAAATGAAACTCTGTTGCCTAATTTTGTTGACTTTGCTTATATATATAGAAGATGTGGTTAGCTCCTAATCTTATGGGGTTTCTGTGGTTGATGAGCCATTATTTTAGAAGTTTTGGGTTAGTTGGAGCTATGGTGGCTTGTAAATAATGTTCCTTACTTTTTCAACTGAATAACGCGTTTTAGCAAGACTACGCAACGCATATTCCCCAATAACGTGGTTTGATGCTATAAGTAGATGGCAAGCAAGCAACTCTCGTGATTCACTGATTCTTATTTCTGAAAGCGGTTTTCTTTTTTTTTAATTTTTTTTTTGCGTCGACTCTGCGTTTTTTAAGATTATTAAGTGTTTTTATATTAGTAAAAGCGTTTGTAATAATGTTGTGCAAGAAAAGTTAAAAGTGCTTCTTTTGGAAAGCACATTTTATGTTTCAAGTGTTTTTCTTAAAAACGTGTGAAGACATTTATTACGTGAGTGTTTCGTAGAAAAATACTTCATAAAAAAAGCTTTTATGACCAATAAACACTTGGATTTTGAAACGATGCCATTAATTAAAGTGTTTACTTACATGTAAACCAAAAATATATACAATTATTCATACAAATTTCACAGAAAATTACGTATATATCTATTTTCAAGAAAACCACGTAAGTTGTAACTTTAGCGGCTCTATATTTCTTATATACGTACCCTTCTTTACCCTCAAACCTTAGGAACTAGAGTCCTTATTCAAGAGATAGTGAAGAATGCTTTCAACCACTTAAAACTACAAGGCCTTTTCAAGCAAATCACGTGCATTTTAACTTTGGCAGCTCTATATTTCTTATCTACCATCCTTTACCCCTCAAACCCCATGAACTCGAGTCCTTGGACAAGCGATGGTGGAGAATGATTTTAACTACTTAAAACTACAAGTCCCTCGCTAAGTTGAACCCATATCTGTGTTGAATAATATTGGTTTCCTCAAATTACCCAAATTATGCCAATGCGTTTCTAATTTATTATCTTAATATAAAAACATACAAGTTCACTATTTTTTTCTTGGAGCTTTAGCATACAAGTTCTCATGGAGTTGCAGATTTCTGGATCCGTATTTGTCCAACTCTTAATTTGGGCCAAGAAAATATGACTACGTTTGTTCGACTTTTCCTACATTTTAACCATGTTGTTCAAACTTCAAGTTTGGAGCCTTCTTCAAGAATAGGCTTGTCTGCATCCTTTCATTTTTTTCGAAAGAGTATTGTTATGCTCGCTCACCTGCTCTATTTTTTCATCCACCTTATGATTAAAATAATCATTATAAATCCATATAAAGTGAGTAAAAAAATAAGACAATGGATGAGCATAATAGCACTCTCTCAAAAATATAAATATAGATGTGTCCGAAAAACTAGACTAATTTCATTTTCAGAATAGTCATTTTACATCTTGCAAGGCGCTTTTCTAGTAATACCAACATGATATAGACTGGCTTCATAACAAACACAAAGAAAATTGCATGAACGATCCAAACCTACTTCAATTTCTGTTATAAATGATGAAGCAAGTTCCAGCACTCCAGAAGGACTTGCTTGGAAGGAGAGCACTCGCATGTGCTCCATCTTCGGTCGTTTTTAACTATCGCAATGAAAATGATTTATGGTTATGATTATGGTTATGGTTAGTAGCACTTTCTCTAGAAAATGGATCATTCCTTGTAAATGAACGACCAGAAATAGTTATGATTAGTAGCACTATCTTGAAGATAAACATCTCGCTCCAACAATGTAGATCCATGGTTACGATTGACTTGTGTACGTTTCCATTTATCCTCGAGTCTTCTACAATCATGGTCATCAACTACAATAATGGTCAAGTTACTATAGCTGGTGTTTTTCTTTCTTCAACTACAATTGGATATATAAATTGAATAAACATGAAATAATAGAAAGTAATAAAATAGTAAGAAATATTACTTTGGCCCTCGTATAGTGTCAACCTAAACTCTTTTTTTTTTTTTTTTCCGACCGAAACTCTTTTTATGTTCAACAGTGATTCTTTGAATTACATAGTGGATAAAAATTTCCACTTTCAAGTTTCAACCAATACAATGACAAATTGGCATATTAGGTGATTTTCCAAATTTAAAAGGAAATATTTTCCAATTCTAAATTGTGCAGGGAGATATATACAACTGTGGAGGTCGGACTGGTTATTTCATGTCATTTTTAACCTGTCAACCATTTAATTAATCTTATGAGAGAATTGAACTTTTGTGCAATTTACTTATCCTTAACATATTGTTAATTATATTCGTCTCTTTCCCCAAACTCTATGAGCTACAGTTCACCATCTTACCTATATTGGTCTCTCTCCCCAAACTCCGTGGACTACAATCCACCATCTTAATGTAGTTCGGCCAATGCTAACTACCATAGTTTTAATAATATGCGTTCGAAATCAAATACCTAAAAAAAGATTCAAAAATTCAGTTGATGAGATGCACTAAAGAATCTGGGATTGCTGTTTTTTTTTGGGACGACCAAAATGAACTTACCTACCCAATTTCCCAAAACCCCCCTTCCAAAAATACTTGACATGCCATCCTCCTTTTCCAATTTTTTTTTTCGTTTCATCGTCTTCTGCCTCTATTAATGTGGTTTTCAACATTGTGGAATTTGTATATATAATTAAAGCATCAACCTTAAGGGTACTCTAATCTTCGAAGTCAGAAAATAACTTTCGTATTCTTTTTCGAATGCACATGAATTATGCTTACTAGAGAAACACTTTTGTATGACTTACTTCACATTAAAATTTAATGATCATGACAATATTCATGAAATAACCACTTTCTTTGTTTGCTAAAAGTTTAGAGGGAGGGGAGGCTACCATATCCCAGAGCTGGGGCAATACCACAAATCTTTGGAGGACTCACTAAGGGTTGTAGTCCATTTTCTTGTTTTTACAGATTGTCCACCAAGACGGAGTGCTGGCTATAGGACTCGAACCTAAGTCTTGATCTAGCAAAGAGAACAATCCTTACCAACTTAACCAACCTTCATCGGTTGAAATAAGCACTTTTTATGGCACACTATAAAGCCTATTTGCATGAGATGAAGACTTTGATAAATGTCTATAGAGAAAAGAATTTTGTGGCGGACAGTTTAGCGACCTATAGTCTTGATTTAGATTTAGGTCATTTTTATTTTGATACTCCTCTTTCTTGTTCAATTAGTTTTATTCTTAATGATCGACTTGAGATGTCTCGGTCTATATTTATTATTGAGTAGGTTTGTTTGGGCTCGCCCTGTTTTTCAACCAAAAAAAAAAACTTTGATAAATGTTTTGATATCATTTTTGGGCATAAAGATTTGTCTCGATTATTTAAGGCTGCATCTAACCCATGTTAGACTGCTTACGTACCCTTGAACAAGATCAAGCCTTTCGTAGTTCACCATTCAATCTTAATCCATTTCCGATTATATTCCAAATAAACGAAATATCCAACATTAGTTCTAATGATTGAAACACATCCAATGGATACCAAATTCATATTTAGAATATCCAAATTTATATAAAATGGTAGCATCGGCCCACTGGCCACGCGCCGTCGGGAAACACCTCAAATAGCCCTCAAACCGCCGGAAACCCTTGAATTTGGGTGTTCTTGATTCGACTCAAAAACCATGTTGACGCCCCAACCAATGCATGGGCTTTGCTCCAGGCCTCAAGGGGAGTCCAAAGGTGGTGGTAATTGGAGGACTTAGCTTCAGGATTTGAGGAATTGCCACCATGAACCCCGCCCCACCCACTGTGTAGATTTCACCATTTTAAGGCTAAATTTCACCAAATTTAGGGTGGAATGGGTAGAGGGGAGGTCGAGGAATATTTTCCAAGTAGTTTCTCGACATGATTCGCCAGAATTTATCTAGAGAAAGCACCGGATTCCATGCTTTCCCGCCAGGTCGAGTCTCAATGGAGAAATGGGTCAAGAGAGTTGTCTACCCTTTTTTCTCCCTCATTTCCCTCCCGTCTCCTCTCCTCATTCGGCCGCTCCTTCCTCCCCCCTTCCTGATTTGCCGAGCCCTCTCATTTCTCTCCTTCCTTTTTGATCCCAACCACACATGTGACTCCATCCTAAAGGTCCCTGCTCCAAATTTTTGCTGGAGCCTTCTAGAAATGGAGGGCCAAATTTACTAAAATGTCCTCGACTTTAAACGTTAATAACTCTTTCGTTATAACTTTGTTTCACTAAGAGTTATCCCTACGTGTTCGTGATATCGAGCTCTATCCAAATATATTAAGAAATACGATAAAATATATGAGGATAAAATGCGTCCTCGTATAATTACATTAAGTTAACTAGGGCATTTTCGTCTTTTTCACTTATCGATAAATTTTTACGATGTAAATTATAATAATTTCCAGAAACAAAACTTCCAAATTCCTGAATTAAATTTTCATAACCATAAATCAATCTATTTTCTATTTTCTCCACATATTCATATATTTAAATTTTTAGGGTATTACAATAATAGTTATCAAAGACTTCTTAACAAGCTAAACAATTTTACACATGATTTTTAATAAGAACACCGTTTTATTGTAGTATTCGTCCATGTTATCTCTAATTAATTATGAGTTTTTTTTTTAATTTTTTATGTGATCTAATATCCTAGTGGATATGGTATTAAGTTTCTACATTTTAAGTTTGAAATTCTTCTAAATTATTGTAATAATTTCAAACTCTTCATTTTCTCCTTAATATAGTAAATAAAGAAGAGGTTGATGGTAATGATTAAAAGAGTAAAGTGATTGGTAATACCCACATTTGTATGTTAAAATTCGTGTGTGTGGTATACCTGTTGGTGAATTTGACTACAAATATGGTCCTACGTATTTGAAAGGGAAAGAAGGCGTCCGCGAATATATAAAATAGTCAATTTTTGTGGGTGTTGGTTTTGTGTTTTAAAACAACATGATCTTCTAGAATTAGGGTTTAGGGTTTAGGGTTTAGGTGAATATAATTTTTAATCCCTTAGAAGATGCTCTCTTTTGTACTCAAATGAGTAAGAATTCGATTTTTGTTGGAGAGATTTTTAGTTAGTCGGAAATACAATTCGGTAT